AAGCATCAATTTGGTATCTATATCACGAAGATATATTTCTTTATTTGTTCGAAGTCCGGTAGTGACGAGGATCAAGTTTGAATGTTTACTAGCCTCTAGGTAAGGGATGAGGAAGAGAAGGAACGCAGACTGATGGACTGGGGGAAGAAGGCATGAGCTCATGCGTCTGCCTGAGGTAGCTTGCACGCCCCCGTCCCTTTGCCATGGTTTCGAAATGGATTCTTCCTTTGACGGTATTACATATCGGAGACAAGGGGGTAAAGATGAGCTTGGACGATTGTAGCCATGTTTCGTAGGTGGTCTAAGTTTGAGATCAACACATTCCCTGCCTTATGGATATCATTTGCAAAGCGGTCTTTTGGTCATGGTATCGACTTTGGGGTTAAATGCCTGATTGCGGTCTAGAGGTAAAATCACCTAAAACCGCGATATTGACCGTCATTCATGACGTGGAAGATTCTACATTGCACATCGAGCTAATGTGTTTAATGCTAGGATGTCTCCACGACGTGATGCTGTATTGCGCGGTAGAGGGTGGGATAGGCAGCGTCGGGATGTAAGAAACAGTCCTTACTATACGTTTTGAACTCGACTTTTTGTGTGAGCATTTAATTGCGAGGTTCTTGGGGGTGGGGGCAGATCCATTGCAAGACGATCGAATGCGTGCCAAATTGTCGCAAAAGATCTGGCTTATGAGATGGTAGTCTCCCGTATCCAGGAATGGATTGGCTACTCGAACTCGCAAAGTTTGTTTGATGTCAAGGGCGTTCTATGCTCGAGCTTGAGGCTCTATCCCAAACCAGAGAGTGATATTCACCTTTGAATTCACATCAAAGATTACGTGATTGATATCACAAGGGATAGATTGTACCTAGTCAAGCACCGGCACAAGTGACGATTCCCAATGAACGGGAGAGAAAGGAACGGCAGACGTATTGGTCCTTGAAATATCCTCCATCAGCTACTTCTGTCGAGGGAGAAGAATAGCATCCCTTCCGCTAGGAGAGCACATTCCGTTCCCATGTTCAACCGATTGTCTTCTTACAGATCGCTGTTGCGTTGCGACGTTGGCAACTGAAGAAGAGCCGGAGGATCATATCACCATGGACGGGCTAGATAACTTCGTCGCAGATATAATGACCAGTCAATGTTGTTGGCTGGAGCTGAGCGGCGACAGCATGGTCTCGCCACCAACCCTCTCCGAGGCTCCGGCGCCGCGCAGTGCCTTGATCACAACACTCGTCGAACTTTCTCAAATACAGGAACAGGAGGAGGTTGGGAGAAATCCGTTTATGTATACAAACACATCCGTGCCCATCCACGTGCGGTCATGTCGGCACGTCCTAGAAGGTTTCATGGAAGTTCTCTGCCTGGCCCGGCGGCGGTCAAAGAGTCCTATTGGGGTTATTTGCCCTGGGAGAAAAAGCCGGGGAAGTCCAGAGCCCCGATTCGGCTGCAGGCGCTTGGGTCGCGGGGGAGTGTTGACAATGTCATTGTGGTTGTGGCCACGCGGAGGCTCTCGCCGCAATGTCACTTATTCGGTGGGATGAGGTTGAACCGACGATGCTGCAGGAAACGGATGCCGCAGACGACGAACTGAAGCATTTAGCGCCAGGCCATGCGTGAGGATTACTTCATAGGCAGTCGAGGTCCGTCCAAAGCACTTCGTGGCCAAAGGCCCATTCAAGGGACTAAAAGAGTCCGTCATCTTTACCGAGCGGCTCCAGAAGGATACACATCCTCATGGAGCCTTATGGACGGCGCGAAACGGAGTGACCGTATGGGCGAAACGAGGAGGATCGCTTACACGATGCTCCTCCTCAGTAAGTTGAAGCCGTTGCCCAGGCCAAGACTCGATACAGCACGCCAATCGGCTCTTGTTGGTAGAACATGGATACTGTTGGTTGAGTCCTTGCCAGTGCCCGGCTTTGGAAAGGGATAGAGTCTTGAAGCAGGGGAGCCCTGTTCCCGGGTCACGGCATGATTTCGCCCCTCCTCACAACGTCGGACGAACCGCTCAGGGGAACCAGTTCAACCGGCCGGGCCATTCCTCATGCCGCCACGGATACGAAATCGTTATTCGACGAAACTGTCCCACGATGACCGATAATTTGCCATGCCAAGGGACGAAGAAGAGCTGGGTGGTCAGTGGTTCGCGGGAGTCCGCAGACACGGCGTCCGAATATGGGACGAATACGCCAATGATTGGTGTCGAACAGCAGCGGGAAGGCGTAAGGGTCTGGAGTTGGCAGCATGCCATTGTGGCGTCGAGATTGAGGTGTTGCTTTTCTAGAGTTACAATAGAAGCTACCGACTTGGGTGTTCAGCTCAATATCCGGAAAGGTACGCGAAGTATCGAGATGAAAAACAAAATAATTAAGAAAGCAAACTCAGGATCGCCAGTATGGGGGAGGCTCATGCAGTGAGGCTTTGCTCGTATCAAAGCGAGCAGGGATGCGAGGACCCCTTTATGCGATGAGGCGCAGAGCGTGGGGCAACTTGTAAGTGCTGTGGTATACCATCAGCAGTCGGGCAGTCAAACAAGGGCATTCGACAACGACTACCCAAAAATTTGAGGAGAACAACGCTTCGTAAGCTTCCGCTGTTGCGTGACCTGTGCTGTCATTAAGCACACGGCAAGAGTCGACGCTAAAAGAAATTTCTTCTCCCTTGGCTTGCTCGATCGGGCAAAGGAATGTGTGGACCCTTCAATTTCACAGGTGCCTGGCCGAGAGCGCGACTAAATGAATAGCGGCGCCGGCAGCGCGGTTTCGACCCAGATCAGCCATTGGATAGTGTCGTGGATGGACGTGCTTTGCTTCCATCGAGACATCCAGACCGTGATGAGAAAGAAAATAGAAACCTGGTTTGTTGCCATTCAAAATAGTTGCAAAGCCATTGTTTCCAGACGCAAGCCTCGAAACAATGCCGAATCCGTGAAGTCAGTAGCAGGCGTCAGCCGATGAGATGAAGACAACGGCCTACGTCAGAAAGTTTGTGACCGTGGGCATGACCATGGCCATTTCGATGCGCTTGCCACCTGTTCCTTGTTTACCAGAGTCAGAATCAGACACCTGAGTCAAATTGTCTTTTTTACCCCAAGGCTCACCCAGACTCAGGGGCCATCTATCAAGCCGTCATTGTCCATCAGGCCGTCTCGTAACGATGGATCTACATGCCCCAAATCGAGACCCAATGCCGTGGAGAGTATCACTGGGCTGTCCATGTGAGGGGTCGAAAGTTTCGTCCAAAGCTTAAGTGGATTCTGGGTGGACTCGTTGGTCGGCAAAAGAGTTCAATATGTATGTGCGGCGTCCGGTGTGGTTGAAGGGAGAGCTGAGCAAGTGTTCCGGCACCATTGGTGGTCCCCGCGCTTGTGCGTTGTGTTGGCCGCGTACTGTATTGGGAAGATACACTAGGACTCGTCGAGGATGGGCACGCAAACACAGAACTATTGTATGCAGGCCTAGACGACGTGCTCGCGATCCGATCGCGCCGGGTTGTCATGGTTCGCGTTGGAAGTCGATGAGCACGCCTCTCGTAATCTCGATCAGCTGGAGAAAGGCAGAAAAGATCTGACAGGAAAATCAGCTGGAGGACGATCAATGGAGACAGAATACCGGGGCCAAATGTCATGTCTATTGCCGGAAAAGCGCGTCTTCGGAAGTTATTGACGCATAGCCTGGTATCGCAAGCATGGGTCTTCCGTGGCCTAGTCGTTCGTGCCAGTCTAGCAAGATGCTGGGAGGAGTCGAGGTGGGGGATTGTGGTTCGATGATATCAAGGATGAGCGACGTTGTGTTTGCTGGTGAAGTAAGATGAAGGCTCCCTTTCATTGCTTGGAGAGTTAGGGAACTTGCAAGATTCAGAGTCAATTCCACGTTCAAAATCACAGTACGTAGTGACGTCTCCAACGTACGATATTTCTGAAATGGAAGGCAAGTGTTCGTCCACATCATTTTTCTCTCTTGCCTTTCTAGATGCTCGTCTTCCAGGTTGCTGCCTCCCTTGAATACACCGTTAAGCTAAGGCAGGAACCGACCTAAGACGGGATGGGCTAGTGGATCTGGAGAAGGCTTAGCGTAGGTGGCACCTGCTTTCTCGGCCCTGGTCATCAAAAAGCGCCGGCTGAGTACCTACCGTGCTACCGTGGGTGCGTGGTACCTTAGCTTACTTTACTACTTTGTACCTGGAGATCATCCTCGTCCCGCTGCGTCGGTGCAACTCTTTCATTTCGCATCCATCACAACCTTTTCCCTCCAAGGTCTTCAAAGTTCAAGATCTCCACATCCCGTTTGACCGGAGACGTGCAGGTGCAGTTTGCAGGTGCAGCGAAGCTATGGACTGCAACACCACCCCACCCCACCCTGATTGACCACTGACCTGTTCAAGGAAGACAAGCCAATGTTCGTCCTGCGCGGCACCGCGGCTACCGGCCTTGTCTTGCCTCGGGTGCGCCACCGATCTTGCGGCGGACCTGATTCACTTTGCAATAATCTCCTTTTTTCCTCGATGGTGTACCCTATTCGTTCTTGGAGGCTTGGAGCTCAGCTGATGAACGACGTCGGCCGAACCGCCGCCGCTACCGTCTATCCAACGCTGTCGGAAAAAAGCAATTCATCGCATTACCTACAGCGATACGTTTGGCCTACACGTCCGCATCTGGACACGAATTCATGCGGGTGGCAGAAGACTATTGAAAAAGCTCAAGTCGATTTTCCCATTCTGGAAATGCAGACGACGTGGCCGTGGAAAGGCAGCAAAGGTTAAACATGATTTCCACATCATGATGCGTACGAACCACGATGCTGCCACAGATGGATGAATACCTTACGGTTGTGGCTGACTTGTCATGGGTCAGACAGAATCTGACTGCGAATGGGGATCCGGATACCCAAGATGCAATGCCATGCGCTGCCTGTCCATGCCAGCTCACTCTGCGCTGCGATGTGCTGTAAACTGCGGACTGCGGACTGCGTCCTGCACATGGCGCATGGCCAATGCAAATCGTTCGCGCGCCCGTCTCGGGCATTTCTGTGAGGACAGACTGGACAGGACGGGACGTCCGTTTTGGCACCAAAGAGGTCGTGGAGGTGTCGAAGAGCAGCAAGGCTAGAGCTTCTCGCATCCCCATGGTCATCCCGTCTCATCCTGTTTCTCTCTCTCTCTCTCTCTCACCTCATCCAATTCACCATCTCATCCCTCCCGTCCGTCCATCCATCCATCCAATCCGTCCACCTTCCTCACTCACCTCACAGCCAACGCAAGCCCCACGGACCCCTCCACCCCTCCCTCAGAGGCTGCCCCCTCCATCTCGTCGGGCTGTTGTTCCCACTTCCTTGCTGTTCCTGATTGTCTTATTCCCATCCGAGTCAAACGCTAAAGCGCGGTATGCCGGGATTAGCCCCTGTCCCTGTAATTTAGGATGGACGCGCCTCAACTTCCGACGACTGCTCACCTACGTAGTACGCAGTATTCACAAGTACCAACAGCTTCCTCATCACACCTTTTTCTCTCAACTTACATTGTCTTTGGCTACATTTGCGTTTGCTACATTCTGGTGCTCTTCAGATCTCGCCCTCGGAACCCGTGATATAAGCTATAGGTTCAGCCAGCAGACCGGGATTCCTATTGACTGCCGCCGCAAAGTCTGGCCATGCCGCGGCCTTGTCAGAAGACTAGTTGTCCACGACCCGTCTGGACGCCATGCCTGGACGCCATGGACTCTCGACTTGGTCTTCTTGGCCGTCTTCTGGCCGAGAGCCGCAGGTCACTCGCTTGTACCCGATGCCGCCAAGAAGGACCTCGCCCTCTCGGTTGGCCACCCTCACTTTGCCTGCCTGCGTTTCTTTTCTCAGAACGTCCGTGATATTCATCTCCCGTACCCGCGCGCCGTCTTGTTTGTTCTTCCTCTTCCGATCCTGAGCCGCTACGGTTCTTGCCATCCCAGTTAGGCTGGAAGCCCATCACTGCGAGAAGGTTGTAGAGCATGCAAGGCAGCTCCAATCTTGGTCTGATCTCACTCTTACCATGTACATGGTGGCTAGAAAGGAAGCACTCCATAGTCTTTGGCCATCTCAAAGGGTTCCATGCGTTACCACAGTCCCGGAGGTTTAATTTGTCATGTGGGAAGGATTGCACATTTCGCTGTGACGAGTGCATCGTAGCTGAAGCCATCCGCGTGTACTCGTGCACCAATGATGCCATGTTCGGTGTCACCAGCCGGGTCCGCATCTCTCCCATGGATCTCCCACTCCGGCATTAAAATTCTCCTCCTTGTCCTATATAGTTTGATCACCTCCAGGTCTCGACTCCACTCCATGACATCTGGGCTGTTCCCTGCCCCTGTCTGTACCCTTTCTTTTCTTCTTTTCCATCCTCCCCTCTTCTCTGCTGTCAGCCCGGGAGCTGTCTTGTCCTAATCCCCCACTGGTCCCTGGGGTTCGAGTCGATGCTGGTTGACCATTGTTCGTTCATCTAATAATACCTTCCTTCTCCCAGCTCCCCCCTTCAGCTTGCCCGTGTCTTCCACCGACTCTTTTCTTGCTGCCGGCATCCCCTCCTCTCTTCACGTCACAAGTGGTTCAGGTGAATACAGACTATCGATGCTCGGAAACTGTTTCGACAACACCAAACACTAATACTGGTATAATAATTTGGATTCGACACCTGGTGGCCAATTCGTCATCATGGCGAGGTGGAATCGTCTGATCTCATGGGGCCTTCTCTTAATCTTCCTTCAGGCGGCTCTTGCTCAAGCTTTGGTGCCCGTCAGACGTCAAGAAAGCGGGACTACTACAGCAGCCGTTGCCTCTTCTACTTTGTCACGAAGCGCACAAGATGCTGAAAGTACTACATCGCCGGCATCTTCACTAAGGACAGCTGCAGTCACTACCACCGAGTCGCCTTCTGCTTCCGCTACAGTCTCTAGTCCTCCCATCATCCCAACTACTGGCAGCACCTCTGGAAACTCAAGCCTTGACAATTGTAAGTGAACTTCTCATCGAACACCTAGCACCAACACCAAACCCTAGACAAGGCTGACACTTGATACAGCTACCATGCTGGCAGGAGAGTTACCTATTGAGCCAAAGGTCACACCAGGCTGGGCTGTCGCTGGTGTCATCTTGCTCTGCACCGGGGTCATCTACAGCTTGATTGGTATCAAGAATACAGTCTTGCACACTGCCTTCTCCGTTGCGTACGTCGTCGCCTTGGGTATCACAGTCTTGGTCGTCTATGTCATGGTCATTCCAGTGTCCAACGGATCCCAAGGAGCCTATGTCGTCGCAGCAGTTTTACCGGCCGTCGCAGTTGGCGTTCTCGCTTCCTGGTTCTTCAAAGAAATTACGGAATGCCTGGGATGTGCTCTCGGCGGATTTTGCTTTTCAATGTGGCTGCTTTGCGTCCACGAGGGCGGCCTGCTTACGGGAGTCGGCAAAGTCATTTTCATCATTGTTTTCTCACTAGCAGGCTTTGCATTGTACTTCAGCCGATGGACTCGGGACTGGGCGCTCATGTGTACGATCGCCTTCAGTGGTGCCACGGCAACTGTGCTCGGAATCGACTGCTTCAGCCGGGCTGGGCTGAAGGAGTTTTGGGCGTACATTTGGGACCTGAACGACAACCTCTTCCCTCAAGACACCAACACGTACCCGCTAACAAAGGGCATTCGCGTTGAGATTGCCGCTATAATTGTAATCACTGTTATCGGCATCATTTCTCAGAAGAGATTGTGGAACGTCATCAAGGATAAACGTACGAAGCGGGAAGAGGAATTGGCCGAGGCGCAGCGAGCCCGTGATGACGAAGAGGCCAACATTGGAAGAGAGCTCGAGGCTCGCACCGCTTTGGAGCGACGGGCGTGGGAGAGAGCGCACGGAGATTACACACCAGACAGCGATGATCACGACTCCGGCTTTGCTCGCGACAGCGAGAGCGAGAAGGCTATTCGATACAGCCAGAGCACCGCTACTCCTCGATCACACGCCCCTCCCGTGGCTGGAATGCAAGGGTCGGATGTTCCTCCCGCTGTTCCCCCAAAGCCAGAGTCTCCAGGTCTGATGGTTTCCGAAAAGGAGAAAGAAGTCGTTGTGACATTACGCGTCGCTCCGGATGAAACTCACAGAGAACCCGTTGCTGCGGACAACGTCACTGGTCCTACTGTTGTTCAGAGCGTGCAAGAGGTGGCACCGGTTCCTGAAGTGGTACCTTTGCCATTCAGATTCCCTGATGAGGAGGCTCTAGCCAGAGACAAAGAGGAGCGGTCCACGATCGCAACTTTTGCCGACGATGATGAAGAGATTCAGGCAGGCGTCGGCAGCAAGAGGAGTTCCTTTGCGAAGCGACTCTCTCAGAGCTCGGTACAGCTGATGCGGAGGGTTTCTCAGCGGACATCGATGTCGCATCGTAAGGAAGATGACGGTGATGAGGAGCTGGCGGTGCTTCAACGTCCAAGGGACGACGACGCTGTGTCTCTCGCGGCAACTGTTGACACTCAGAGCGACAGCGGCGCCGGATCTGTGAACGGTGGTCACCGTCGCAGTATTGAGATCAACGCACAGCTCTCTGGAGAGCAACAGTCGAGCATCAAGCCGGAGACTACTACATCAGCATCGGCATCTCGACAGAGCGTCACCGATGGGGACTCCGTTAGACCAGTGTCAGCCATGACGGCTGTCACTGACATGCCAGCCCAGCCTCTGGCCAAGGATGCGACTCCTGCTGCTGTCGAAGAGAGGGCGCCGGAAACCGCAATCGGTGATGTTGCTCAAGAAAACAGCTCGGTGAAGCTGTCTGAGTCGGGCGAGAGTCGACAAGTCCCCGTCCCTTCTCAGCAAGCCAAATCAACAGCCTCGCTTCGTTCCACGCCTCTGAATCTTACCCAAGAGCGTCTGCCGCCCAGCTTCTCCAACGTTGCGCTACACTACCGCACAAACGAATGGGCAAAGCACCTTAGCCACGCCGACGCACCCGAGCCTGAGATCTTAAAGGTCGGAGACGACAGACCGCAGACCCGGGAAGCCCCAGCTCCTGTGCACGTCGATGAGCTTAAGCAGACGGCCTTGTCTGCCACGCCTGCGCCTGCACCAACTCCTTCGAGATCCCCCGCTCCCGTCGCGACACCTCCGCCGGCCTTGACCCGACCCAAGTCAACCCAGTCACCGAACCGTGGCCACTCCAGAAGCAGCTCGTACCAGTCACATCGCCGTGCTTCGAGCAAGACGCAGTTCGAGCCCATCGCCGAGGAAGAGCAACAGGCGCTCTCTAGAGCTGCGAGCACAAGAAGCGGCGCCTCTGGCATCGCTAACTCAGCAACAGCTCCAGCTGTCTTTGTTCCCCCGCCGCCGCCACCCGGCATCATGTCTTACGACAGCCCTCAGAGCTTGATCGCACAGAGAAGCGTCGCTCTGCGCAACAAGACGTACGGAATTCTGACTGGCGCCAACAACACGCCTGAGATATCTGCCGCCTCCTACAGACCACCCAGCGAAACCGGCTCCATGTACAACTACCCCGTCTACCCGTCACAGATGCCGCCAGTCTCCCTGGACGACCTCCCATTGAGCCAGCGCAGGGAAATTATCCGTCGCCAGAGCAGTTCCGGCACAATGCGATCCTCCCTCGAAGGCTCCAGGTCAGCCAGCGGCTCTTACGTACCCAGCGTTTCCGCCGACAACCTCGCCTTCGACTCTCATCAGCCCATGCGTTACTCCAACGTTCCCTCGCAAGACGCCCGTGACGCCCGGCTCGCGAGCTTCCGAGACTCGGTCCGCGCCGATCTCCGCGCCGGTACGGCGTCCCCCGCTCCCGCCGCCAATGGCCGCGACATGGCGCTGAGCATGTTCCGGTCGCCAAGCGCGTCGAACCTGGCGGCTAGCCAGGCCGCCGCGCGCGAGGCCGAGGTGCAGAGGAACATTGACCTGCAGCGGAGCTTCATGATGAGCCAGAAGGAGGCGGAGGCGAAGCGCAAGGAGAAGGCGAGGATCGATAAGGAGAGGTCCGATCAGGCTTTCACGAGGAGCATGCAGAGCGGGGAGATGTTTGAGTTGCACCGCGAGGCGATGCGTAGGATGCAGAACCAAGCTAGGAATGCTTCGGGTGATGCATAATTCTTTTAAGATTCTTTCTCTTACCTTTTCTTTTCTTTTTCTCTCTCTCTTACACAATATTGGTAGATACCCTGGTTTGGAAAATAACGGTTTACATCACAGAAGGTTGGAGGAAACCCATGGGAAAACAGCACTTCAGGAAACCGATCAAGGATACAACATGATACAGAGGATGGAAAGATTACTTTCTCTAGATGACGGGATACGAGGTCAAGAGGAAATGGGTGTATGACACGCGAGAAAGAGATTGAGGCGGGATAAGTTTGACCGCTAGTATTAGTTGTAAACGTAATCAGTAAAATCAACTTATTCAAATAATCTGTTCTCTCATATGATGCTTGTGAGACCTTGATGAAAGGTATTGTACTCCTCCATATTGTAATTTTTAGGTTTTGGTACCACTGACTCTGAGGAATCCGGGGAACCGGGGGAAGGAGGAGGATGTTATTCGAGCACCCCTTGGATGGTGTTCCCAAAGCCGCGGAGCCGAGATGAAAGAAAACTCCGGCCGAGAACAATTATTTCACACGTGCTTCAGCTCATCAATTACACGCCGGGCATGAACATCGGCCAAATCGGCACGGCACCGAAGCGGAGAAACCCCAAAGTTCTCTGGGTCTCGTGCCTCGCCGTATAAGCCGAAGCTTACCTACTCGAGAAGATGCATCTGTGTATTCTGAACCATCTTCCAGCACTGAAGTCAATCACTTGTTCTCACTTCCAGAGATCAAGTGACTTGGCGAAAACTTCCTATGCAGGAGTCTTGGACGAATCCCACCTTCGGACGACACCGATGTCGGGGTTCTCACCGCGCCCACGCCTACGTCGCCCGGGTATAACCCGGCCCCGCCCTCGCGACGCGAAACCAACGACTCAAAACGCAAGACTGCGAGTGACCTGGGCGTTGGCGTCATCCATTCTCTTTTCCTTGCAAATCACCTAATCTTTGTCTGCGGAGGAAGACTTGTCCGGCACGGTTTGGGAAGAGTAAGTAGATAGGTACTGAGAGGGAGAGGGACGGCCAAACGTTCGGCTTGCCGTACATGAAAGGGCCCGTATGTTTGGGACATGAAGTCGTTTTAACCTTAATCCAATACAACTTACCCTCTGGATATAAGTCTTGGCAGCTCATTGCAGGCTAAATCTCTCACCTTACCACACTTTATCTCGATAAGTTAGATCGGCCAGAGATACGGAGGTCTTCCAGTTCCGTCACTACATCTAAACAGCCCGACTATCTTACCTTAAGGGAACTCCACCTTTTACGACCGTCCCGACCCGACGACACACCGACGCACCTCCGATGTCTCATTCGGCCTAAGCCGGCGTAAGAGAGAAGTGTGTGCCTCTCAGAAAGCCATGGCCGGTCCCGTGGACGCCCGCGATGAGAGCGCGAAGCCTCAGTCGGCGACCGCACCGACGTCGACGTGGACGCGCATCCGGATCAAGGCGGTCAAGATCTTCAAGCTCGTCTTGGCGCAGTGGCTCGTTATCGGCTTCGCTCTAAGCTGTGTTTTTGCGTATTTTTTCCCGAGTAAGTTGGCATCTATGAGCGTCCTTTTCATGTGAGATTGAGAGTGAGCGAGGGAGAGAGAGACACACACAGAGTGAACTTCAAAACGAGTACATGACTAACAAACTGACTACAAGATGTCGCGGCTAGAGGTGGACCGATCAGGTCAGAGTACACCATCATCTACGGCGGCATCGCCATCATCTTCCTCGTCAGCGGCTTGCAGCTCTCGCACGCGAAGCTAAGGCAGAATGTAGCCAACTGGCGTTTGCATATCATTGTCCAGGGTATCAGCTTTATCGTGATTCCCGTAATACTACTAAGTAAGAAACTCACTTGACATGAACATGCCGCTCATAAGTCCCCAAGGGATGGAGGCATTGGGCGAAACATCCATCTCAAACCATAAACTAACACAACCCCAAAAGTCATCGTACACATCATCATCGCAGCAGGCGGCCTCCGCACCCAAGCCCTCGCAACCCCCATCATCGTAGGCATGGTCGTCGCCTCCTGCCTGCCAACAACAATCGCCTCCAACGTCGTAATGACCCGCGCCTCCGGCGGCGACGACGCAGCCGCCATCATCGAGGTCGTCATCGGCAACGTGCTAGGCAGCTTCATCTCTCCTGGTCTAATTTACGGGTTCATTCCCAAGACGCCCGAGTTTGCCGACTGGCAGCCCGCGAACCCGAGCACCCTGGGTGCCATGTACGCCAATGTCCTGAAGCAATTGGGCTTGAGCGTGTTATTGCCGTTGGCTGTGGGACAGGTCGTGAGGTGGTTTTGGGAGAAGAAGGTTGATTGGGCGCTGAGGACGTTTTATCTTGCCAAGGTGTCGACGTTTTTTCTGATTTTGCTTGTCTGGTGAGTTGGTGTTGCCCCTTTTCATGATATACCCTCGCCCCTTTCACGGCTTTCTCTTCGTGATATATGGTTCTTGATACTAATACCGGATAGGACAACATTCTCAGCAGCCTTCAAAACAGGCGCTCTCTACGTAACCCCGCATCCCTCTATAATCTTCAACGTCTTCATGAATGTCGCCCTCTACGCCCTCTTCACCCTCATCTGCTTCTACGCCGCCCGCCCTCCCTTAGCGCTCTGCAACGCAATCAATCCTCGTCTCGCCGATTCCCGCCCCTTACAGTCCCGCTGGGTACCCAACTTCCTCCGACGCGCTGTCACGGTTCAACAGTTACCGAGAGAGCAGATGATTGCCGTCTGCTTCTGCGGCGCGGCCAAGACAACGTCGTTGGGAATCCCGCTGGCGACGGCTATGTGGACGCAGTCGGATGATTTGACGAGGGCGTTGATTCAGATTCCAGTGTTGTTGTATACCATCGAGCAGGTTTTCATGGCGCAGATTTTGGTGTACGTATTCAAGTGGTATTTGAGGAGGGCTGCTAAGGCTGAAGGGGATGAAGAGGGGGGCAGTGTTGGGTCTGGGGTTACAAGTGTGGCTGGGCAAGGGAGGGGGGAGGAAGAGGGGGATCGGTCATCTAGGAAGTCAATTGGTGAGAGGGATGATGAGAAGAAGGGCGGAGAAGTCAGGGACGGGAGTAATGTAGTGCCCGTCAAGACCATTCCTGAGAAATAATTGGTGTTGGTTCAAACGCAGTCTTCAGCTTGTTCAGCGTAATGTACGCAGCTCCACCTAACGCAAAAACCAAAAGGCTAGGCGTGAAAATGGAGTTCTTTCCAACCTACCCCCGCGAGTCAGCAGTACATGAGAGCGTTTGTCAAGGCGATCTCACTTGCAGAGGTGGTTCTTTTATTGTACTGCCACGATATGACCGGCCAATCAATCAGTGGCCCCATGTACGTTGAATACAGCGCCATGAAGAAACATGTCCTCCTGAATGGGTGCAGTAATTGAAGCCTTGTCACCTCACTACGTCCTTTTTAGGCCGCAAGGCAGAATTGAGCGCATGAATCAGCCTCATCTTCAACACATACCTAAGCACATTAGTCCTATCTATGCAAGAAGCGCACCCTAACAACATTTTCATCCCCCGGCCTTCATCTTCGAGCCTTCACCTTTGGCAGTGGCTCATCTTCATTGTACTGTCACCATGGACACCGCCGGTTCGGAGTGTCTCGAAAACCAAAACTCTACGGACTGTCTGCTCCGGGCTCTTCTGAACATTCTTGCGGAGCAAAAACAAGCACAAGATGCAGGCATCGATTGGGATCCCATCACCTTCGGCTTTACGCTTTTGATTGGATTGGTAGCCTCCATGATTGCTCTTGCTACAGTCTTCCAAGCTGTTCTTGCGGGTGGGAAAGGTGGTCGTAGAGCAAATGGTCGAGCCATCGGGAAATGGTCGAAACGAACCACAAGGAAATGGATTCTTTCCGAAATGAGCTGGAGTTACACCGCCTATACTCCCATGCTGAGACTGGACAATCTGAAACGACAGCTTGACGATGCGATACGAAAGCTGAAGAACGAAGAAGAGAAAAAGCCGAGGGAGGAAGAGAAACAAAGGCTGCCGCCCTTGCTCCCAGCGAGTGCGCTTGTTAGGTTACTGCCCTCTGATGTTGTTGGCTCTCCAATTGAGGCCAGAAGAGTGGAAGCACGAAAAGCACCCATTCCTGATGTGCCGTCATATCCAGCTACATGGCTTGCTCTTTTCAAAACCACTGGGTTGGAAAACTTCGACGGGTTTGATCTTATGCCAGTCACTGCCGACTATCTTCCAGAGGACTTTGTTGCCGCTCCTGCTTCTGCAGAGGTTGGCGCGATTGTGGTAATCGCAGCAGCTGCTGGGGTCCAGCGGTTGGACGCCGACGCAGATTTATACCCTGTCATCATTGGCTGCGGCTTCCAATTTGATTTCCGTCAGCACCCAGTTCTCGGTGTCATTGGGGCATTTTCTGAGCATCATAGCAGAGACAACGACATTACGCCGACGCCTAGTCTGGAAAAACTTCGAGAGGCATCGCTGCATGCAAATGGTCTAATTGAGCTGCAGGACGGGAAATCTGCAGACGGGATAATCGAGACACACCGGACAGACCATCGGCTCTTCTTACTGCACCCCGAGTATAGACCCGTGATCAAAGGAACAGACTGCTTTCTCCCAGATCGCTACACCCTCAGCCGGCACTACATACCGACCGTCGTCTTCCTCTGGGCCAAGTCGCCAAAGTTCACTCCGTCTCTCTTCCCAGGACCAGTGTGGAAAGAGTATAACCCGTTCACGGCCATTGCTCTAAACGGAGGGTTTTGGAGTAAAGTTCGATTCGATCGATTTCAAGAATCGGACTGGGATGAAAATGGCCGTTCTCTTTCGTTCTTTAAGCAACCGTTTGATGACTTATCAGCTGCTTAACTGCGAGGACATGCTTTCAAAGCGATAAGAGGTGAAGTAGCAGGGAGAGACTACCCATGGCTCCGCTGTCCACAAGTACTTCGGTTGTGTCTTACCCTACTCAATAATCCCATGGATCTTCGACAAAAATTTTCGAACTTCACATTTAGTCAAAAGGAAAAGCTTCGTGAAGAAGCACGCAAACACTTGAATTACGCGGACGCCTGGCTAGCAAATTGCGATGGTGGCATGGGCAACATTGAAGGCCGGATTCAGCTCTTGTTCTTTACGACGCAGATTCTATCCCGAGCAGAGACTATGACGCAGAAAGGTATTCTTCAAGTTCCCGATAGAACGGAACCAACACTGGAAACGTCGGAACCGCCACAGCCTCCGATGACAGTGCGAGACATTCACTCCAAGACGATTCAAGCCCTCCACAACCTAGTCGATGGCTTCGAACTCGAGCTCGAAGGCCTCAAAGCAGCCTTGAAGATAAAAGTGGCGAATCACGGTAGAACAAGAGCTTATTCGCAGTGGCATAGTGGCAGATTCGGAGCTCTACGATGTCACTTGCGTAACAAGTTCTTCGGTGGCCCGCCAACACAGACAGACTTGGAAATAACTCCTGAAGATCGTGAATATCTGGAACATTTCAGGAGAAAGTTAGAGGAGTCTAAGATACAAGTAGAAGGATTAGTAGGACCCTCGTACAACGTGCCAACCAATTTCTTCAACACTCATCAAATGCTAAGCAGGTTAGCGAAAATAGTAGGTTGCCACTCTGAGTCAAGTAATGAAGACAGAGAGAACGAGGAATTGAATCGAAAGATTGATGATATCATCATATATCGCTCTCTGCTTCTAGGAGTGCTATTCTATACAGCTCTCGACAATTCTGAGTTGCTCAAATCAGGAGTATGGGATCGTGTGGTCCCTATCATTTGAGGATCAGAACGAACTTGGCGCGCGTGTACATACTCTATGCAACCGTAGATAGTCATATTACCCATCACTATTTCGTTTGGCTTTTGTATCAACTTTTTAGTCTATTGAAAAGGTCTTTGCTAGAGTGTATTTCCTTTTTTTGACCCTTGCATGATCCATCAGTCGCGATAGCTCGATAATGGAATTATCAAACAACGCTGAGTTGGTGTGCAGCAACCGGGGTTATCCATCCTAAGCACTTGTCGGATTCATGCGTCAAAGTGGAGTTTTAGTTCGATTAAATAGAGAGAAGTTACGACGAAAACCACCTTACTCCGACTTAATGAAACCTATACCTCCATGACTAGCGGCGTCTGCGGCCATTCTCTAGTGTTTCCGGGGGACTCGTGTCACAGACTCGCTGTCTCGTTGTTAGCCGCGCTGTTTGCAAACTACTTGAGACTTTCCAGCAGACTTACTTTCCTGCGTTCCCTAAACTCTTCGTAGATCCCACGCCAGATATCTCTCGCGGCACAACTTCCAAGTCCATCCATCATGGCCACACACTTAGGCTCTCTCTCCCGGACCAAGTTTTCGGGGGCGTCCAACCAGGGTTTAGGCAAAGGCCAGTCCGAAAAATGCAGCAACTTTGCCTCGTTGTAGGCGGCGACTGGGTCCCAGGCTTCTTCGTCGCTACCAAGGTACCATTGATGGTTGTCTTTGCTAAACTCCCCCGTTAAAAGATCGTAAGGCCGGTGCGGTAGGACCATGGCGCTATCCTGGTATAACTCGTTGACGAGCTCCATGTCGTAATCGTTTCTTCCGGCATTATTGATCTTGGATGCAATGCGGGTGAATTCCACTTGAATTGGTTGAATGAGAATAACTTGGGAGGATAAAACGTGTTTGTCTGGGTGAAGCCAATACGCACGTGGCATGGCGACTGTGGTTGGCGGAAGAGAGAAGAGCTCGTCCATGTGTTGTAGGAGAGTTGAGTCCGAGTCGATTGAAAGTACGCGGTCGTATTTCGTCTGGTTAAAGGCGAGAAGTTTTGTGAAAGAATCCGCCCAGGTTGCTAGATAAGAGCTCCATGTCAGCTCTTGGCGGCCAGGATGATAATCCTGGAGGGGCGACTTACGATCTGAGCCTGTTCGATGTTGAACTGATATTGGATCAAGCTTTACGTTGTACTTCTCCCGAGCAAGGATGAGGAGTTTGGCATCATCTGATGAATCTTCATGTTCCTTCTCATGAGGATCAGCGAGCATGACGGAGGGGTACATCAGAACTCGGTCCGCTTTACTCTCAAGTTCTTTCAGCCTCTCAAAAAACATGACCGAGTTACAGAGATAGTCTTTATTAGTGACATACTGGACGTACGCAAACCGAGACCAGTCTACAGACTTGACGTCAGGTGACTCGTCGTGTTGAGAAGTTGAGTAAGCTGCTCGGATGGCTTCAATCTGATCACGGTTGTAGACTCCAACGCCCGATAGCAACAACAGCCCCAGAATAGTGAACGCAGCCAACTTGAGCTGTCTCAGAGTAAAGATTGTAGGGGAAGGCCTGCCCTTCCATGGTAAAGAACCCGAGAAGGCCGCATCGTCGGTTTGAAGCGGCGTGTAGGCAAAGCGGCCGCGGAGCCACTGAAGCGGCATAATAAGAACGAGGACCAAGCCGCAAAAGCAATAATCGGTGAAAGCAAACCACGCAGAGTTCTAGAGCGTCGTTTGAACTGGGGACACGAGCTGGGGATATAAGTGCGCACAAAGACTGTGGCTCACCCACTTTGGGAAACATGCTTAAGCATATGCAAGGGGGTGAAGCCAGCGGGAAGACATTGCCAAGTCCATCCAGCCGCTCTGCCCTGAACCTGGAGAAATTGGCAGATGGAGTCACGATGTATGCCATGCCTGGCGCGATTCCGTGATTCCTCGGCAAGGACCGCGCGGGCAACGGCATCTGGCCTTCTTGGCCTGTCGCTGAGACGAGACATTGTCTTGCTGTCATTTTGCGCGAACTGAGATCTTTCCGAACCGCGTCAGGCACCAAAGAGTCTCTGCGTTGGTTCTCGGCCGAAGCTCAAATAAAAGCAAATAGGGTGCTTGTTGTCTCAAACCGTTCAGTTGGAACTGGACGCCATTGGCTGAAGCCAGATATTGTTGCTCTCTGTAGGTCAAGCTGGGCAGAGTCACACTTGATAAAGAGAACGCGCTGGCGAAATGCTTATGGTTTCAAACAGAGCCTTTGTCTGTTTGTGATATCTGTGGTTGCAACTTGCATGAGACAAAGAGCTGGTGATGCCTAAGGTGATGCTGAAGCAAACAACTCGAGCCGCCCTTTGGGCTCTCTTCCCCCTTCTACTGCGATTTCAATAGCTCAAACGCGACTACACATCTAAAGCCGGGACCTACAACAGCGCCGAGGCCTTGCAGGTGGACAGCGGCTCCATGTTCGGCATCGTGTTCCGGCCCAACATCAAGAGCTGGATGGTCGGGATTGACCCAGCCGCCCAGCCGACCCATTGCTGGGTCGGCCGTATGCGGCTCAAATCAGGCACATCCGATACCGTACATAAGCCCTCTTCGGACCTCGCTGGCTTTTCGCTTATCTTTACTTCGTCGATAATTAATTTCATGGCATACCGTGATCCGTGGCATCCACGGCGCTCGCAACTGTGAGGGGCCTGTATACCACAGGCAAGTTATAAATGACAGCCAGCGAATTCTTCGTTCTTCGAATATGTCTTATTCACGTGAAGACACAGGGAATATGAGAAGGAAAAAAGGCCGAGCCGGCATGATTCGTGGCATGTTGGCTATGGAACCACCTTAGCCCAAAGTCTGGTTCGGCAGTTCTTCATGGCTTACAAAGGCCGCCTCAATTGCTGGTTGACAAACCATGTTAGTTCTGGGTGATATGTACCTGAAGGTTTTAAGCGAGGTTCAAATGTAACTGAAAACATGGAGTTTAGCCGGTCATCACAATTCAGCGAGACAGCCCATATCTCATACTCCAGTTCACTCCATGATCGACATCAGATTTAAGCCTTCTCAATTCGGCATTTCATATCCAAACTACATATTGGATCGCAACAAAACAATCTTCATACATCATCATGAGCAGATCAGTGCTCTCTGTACATTTTCATAATGATATGCATATCCAAGCTTAATGGATGCCCTTTAACCTGCTCTTGTTATGCGTCAACACTCACACACCGTGACAAATGCTTAGGCCTTCTTGATAAGACTGTCAAAGAGGGGCTTGAGGCTCTTGGCGCTCTTCTTGGGGTATCTCTTCTGGTCGTTCTCATAGTCGACAAAAGTGACGCCGAAACGAGTCTCGTAGCCCTCGGCCCACTCGAAGTTGTCCATGAGGGACCACGCCATGTAGCCCTTGACGTTGACACCGTCCTTCTCGTGGGCATCGGCCATGGCCTTGACATAGCCGTCAAAGTACTTGACACGGAAGTCGTCCTCGAGAATCTGCTCAAGGGGCATGTCGTTCTCGCCCTTGAGGGAGGTACCGTTTTCTGTGACGTAGATGGGCGGGTAGCCGTAGCGCTTGGAGAGCCAGACAAGGAGGTTGTGGAAGCCCTGGGGGTTAGGGCGCAGCCAGAAAGACTGGGTCTCTTCGCCGATGTTCTCACCGCTCTTGGACTCGAAGAGGGTCTCGAGGTTACCAAGGAAGTCGTCCTCCTCAGGAGGGGTGGTCTTGTGCTTGATGTAGTTGGCCGTGTAGTGGTTCATGCCGTAGAAGTCGTTGGATCCCTTGACAAGGGCGAGTTCCTCGGGCGTAAACTCGGGCAGGCGGTCCCCAAGCTGCTTGAGCATGGAGTCGGGGTACTTGCCGAAGTAGATTGGGTCAGCGAACCAGGAAATGGCGAACTCGATCTTGCGGTCAGAGGCCTCGACGTCCTCAGGGTCCTCAGGGTCCCAGGGGTAAGTGGCATCACCGTTCAAGGTGATACCAATCTGGCCACCATTGGTGGGCTTGAACTCCTCGCGGTAGACCTTGACTGCGCGGCCGTGGGCAACGAGCAAGTTGTGGCCAACGATCCAGGGTTCGCGGGAAGAGTCACCGATGGCGGACTTGCTGCGGTCTGAGGTGTGACCGGGTGCGAAAAAGCCACTGCTGTAGCCGAGAATGGAGGAACACCAAGGCTCGTTGAAGGTGATCCAGTTCTTGCACTTGGGAATGGCCTTGAAGACGATGCGGGCGTAGTGCTCAAAGTCGAGAGGGAACTCCTCACGGTTCAGGAGACCACCGTAGCGCTTGTCGAGTCCATCGGGGAGATCCCAGTGGAAGAGGGTGATGAATGGGGTGATGCCAGCCTCAAGGAGGTCGTCGACGAACTTGATGTAGTGGTCAAGGCCGGCCTGGTTGATGGGGTCGTTGCGACCACCGACAGGGATGATTCTCGACCAGGCAAGGGAAAAGCGGTAGGTGTTTGCGCCAACGGACTTGAGCAGGGCAATGTCTTCGGCAGTGCGGTTGTAGGAATCGCAGGCGACGGCACCGGAGCTGCCATCGGCAATCTTGCCGGGGATGGCGCAGAAGGTGTCCCAGATGGAAGGACCACGACCGTCCTTCTCGGCGGCACCCTCAATCTGGTAACTGTAGTGGTGGACAAACAGCGTCAGCAGGGGTCTCGCATGTTGTGTCGTCGTGGTCGCTAAATGAGGGGAGAGGGGAAAGATGATAGTGGGGGCAGCTCGGAGGGGAAGTGGAATTTGCAGGCGGGACGGGAAAGACGGAGGGAAGAGGGCGAAGTGTGGTGGGAGAATGCTTGTAAGTCATCCAAATCGGGATATCGGCGGAAGAGGGAGCGAATATGCATGGTGATAACAACCAGACCGGGGCATTGGGGATGGGCCGAGCCGGGTTGATGGTGAGATGAAATACGTACGATGCGGTGGCAAAGCCCCAAAGGAAGTCGTTGGGAAGAGACATGACGGACGGGTTTGAAGGGTGACCAGCTACGGAGAGGAGGTTTGGTATTATGATTCTCAGAGAGTCGTCAGTCTGCGAGGCACCTACGCTAAGACTGATGGAGCGGTTTCGATGGGCTTGACGGTGGGATGATGATGGCTCAGCCAAGAGTAGATTATTTGCCCCGACAAGAAACGAACCACTGGATAACAAGTGGTCAAAAGAGATCGAGAAGAGAGATGAGATGTAAAAGGAGGCGACGGGGAGAGGAGGGAGCAAGATGGGATCGTACAGATGGACAGTGAGGTGCTGCCACGATACTTATAAGATGCAAAAGAAAGACGGAAGGAAGCAGCGCGGCGCAATTAAAACGGCATTGTGACCTTGGGATGGACGGGGGTACTTGGACGTCCTTGGTAGGTTTAGGCAAAAGTAAAGGTAGCCAGATACAAGGATTACTCGAGTATAATAAACTAAGGTAGACAGGGCAGGGAAGGAAGAAAAAAAAAGATGGGACAAACACCCGCATCGTGTCAAGGTATCCGTCTGTACTAAGCGTGCAGGTGTGCAGTGAGAGTGAGGTACAGACTGGGCACATCAGACAACGACATGGGACGGATGGACGTGGTATCAGGTAGCGCCTTGGTCAATCTGGTACTCTGGACGTCTCCAATGTCGGACCGTCGACACCGAGAAGCTAGGACTAGAACATGGCCCGAAGATGGATGGTGCTGGCGTTGGGATTGGCATTGGCGTCGGCGTTGGATGGATGGGTCGGAGGCGTGATCTGGCAAGTTACCTACCTTTGATTCGTAAAGATGAGGCGTCCAACGTGAGTTTTCTTTGCCCGCCAGTAGCGTCTACTTTGAGCGGTGTACCTATCTCGTTACCCAGATGGCGCGGGGATTTTCCGACAGTAGAATGTGCGTGGAACACCGAAAAGAAGCGCATCGTCATGTTCCATTCGCTAGAGTCGGCAGAGGCTACGGGAGAGATGGAAGGAATGAAGGCAGTAGGGAAATGTCCACGGCAGCTGCCGCCAGTAGAGTGACCTTGTGCAACCTTGATGTACGTGTACATGGAATCCTGTGAGACGGGGGGCAAGCACGTCCTCATCACGATGCCTCTTTCCAAATGAATTTGGAGGCGATGGAAAAGAAGGTACGAATAGGCAAGTATCTACCCCCTTCTTGCCCTCCTTGGGGTTTCTTCGACCCGACACCCAACAGGGGAAGTGCATCTGCGCCTAGGCCAGGGGCGCCTTCCATTACCCCGCCGTGGGGTCCCCTTTTTCCCAAGTGCTCCCCATTTCTCTCCTCTCCGCCGCCGCTTCCCAGAGTCTAGAGAGCACACGACGGCCCGTCTATCCGTCAAAACATGACCTTTTCTCTGCCCAGCTCGTCTTACGGTTTACCAGCACCAGCCTCCAAGAGCCAATTCGAAACACGAACAAACCTCGATTCCTCACCTGACGATCTCCGAACTTATATGATTGGACACTTGTCTCTATTCGGCACAAGCGCCAGCATGAATTCGCTGTAAGTTCTGCAGCCCACGCACCAAGTTCTCCTTGCACATCACACACACAGGTTGTGTAAAACATGTCGGTACGGACACATATGCACACTGGATGGCCGGCGACATGCATATCGCCAAACGCTGTCGCCAAAACTCCGGTGACGGCTCAATTCCGCCGGCCGCTAGCGCAATCTGAGCTGGTCCCAATGTCTGATTGCCTCGCCAGGATCGGCTGGTAGCAGACATGGAGCAATGCTCGCAGCACACTCTGCAAGGTCTCGTCCTACGCAATCGCTCGCATAAGGCGACCGACCATGGCCACGGGGAATCCTCCCGAGCTCTCCTTGACTCCCAGACAACGGGTAACCAGCCGCTACTGCCACGATTTTCCTTACTTTGGTCACGCCCAGTCCAAAATTTCAGAAAACTCCCGGCTCCGCGAACAAAATCCCGTCGCTCTCGGTGAGCGGACGCCGGACGGGAGAGTCTCCCTTCCACCTGTATCTACCTACACCCGGCTCGTCCAATGTCACTCCAAGAAGCTTCTCCAACTCCGGCTATCGTCCCATAATCTCCGCACCATCCAGCTTTCTCGTCCCCAGCTTCATAGCAAGACTCTGATATAGACGGCATCTCAACTTCAGAACACCTGGCATTATTTCAAGGCTTCTTGCGGTTCCCTTTTCTCCGTCCGGCGCTTTTATCAAGCGGGCTCATGGATGGATGCCAGATACGACTTTACGAGGAGCTGCATCCTGCCTGAAATCCAATTCCGCCCCTCCAAGGCCGACAGCCCCAGCGTAAGCACCTTAGTTTGCGCGATTACAACACGCCGTATCACATGAAGAACCATGGATCTGTTGTTTCTACGCGGAAGGCCAACGCCTCTCCCGGTCATCCAAGGAAACGATGCAACTGCTTGATGTCTTCTCGATTTCGGTTGACAAAGCCGTCTGCCCGGCTGGCGGAGCCTTCACTTACAGCCAACAGGCCTTTGGTCAAGGTAGCGGAAGCTCAAAACGACACAAAACAACACCACTTCCGGAAGATCATCGGAGATTTTGCAACTTCTATTCCCTGCTGGGGCATGTGTGTACATGGTAGCATCTACAGCTATCTCAAGGTACCTTCATCTTTGCTGCTTTCATCGTGGACGCTGCAATCAGTACAGCGCGCATGCCTGCCTGCCTCTTTGAAGCTCATTTCAATTCTTTCCGTAACTGCTACGCAGCACATCCTCTGATGTGTGCAAATCAAAAGTGCCATCTTTTGGGACTGCCACATCTTTGCGCAACTTTTCAAGACTAACGGGACAGAGTCTTCGCCAGAAGCAAAGTCTTTGTTTTGGAGACTCTATCCGGAGCCTCACCGAGGTGTACGGAAGCCGGGACGAAGGTGAGCCGGCCCAGCTCGAGACGGCCCTGGACTCATTACGACCTACCCTGCCGCTGCAATGCACGGCATGGGCAAGGCTTAATGCATGCCGTCGACAGCCGCATCCTCGTCCTCTCGGTCGTTCATTTTGCGTTTTCCGGGATGATTTGTCGTCATATTAACATCGCCATCCGCTGCTGCGGCCACGTCGGGAGCATCGTCTCCCTCGGTCCACTCTACAATCTCCCATTCAACCCTAATTTTCCCGTCTCTGCTATGATCAACAACCTGGCTGTGACGCAAGTTGCCCAAACGGGTACCATCGATCATGCCTTCGAACCAAGGGACGCCCTGGGTTTCCCTCCCAATTACCGTGGTTGTTGTCGGAACAGCGGGCTGTTCTTCCGGCTCTTCAAACTCTGGAATCAGCCCCAGATCTTCCAGATCTCGAAGGTCTTCACCTCGCAGGCTCGCAAGGGTCAGGTGGATGAACCCCGCCTCGGTAGGGGGTCTCTCGGTCCAGTAGGATAGCGGCGTGCCGCAGAAGCCGCAAAAGTTTCGTCTCGAAGGGTGGTGGTTGGAGGGTGATTCGAAAACGCGGCGGATCGTCGAGTGCCTTTCGTCCGGGTAGAAGGCGTGGGTTGAGCTGTGATACCACGAGAGTGGCACTCGGATCATGGCGGCCAGTGGGGTTGCGAGAGGAACTCCTGCGCATCAGATCATGGGTTAGCGGAGCTTCTGCTTTCGAAGAGGTGAGGCACGATCGGCTGTATGCACGGCGGGATTATTTGAGAACGCCTGCTTACGGAAATCGCGAGAATTTGGCGAGACGAAGCCACTTACTGTGCATTGAGTCTGTATGGAATAGCACCTGGGCTTTCTCGGTGGTGCCTTGCGGGACCTCGATGATGTAACTGTTGCGCCCGCACTGGCAGCCGCCGCGCAACGGACGTTGAAAGCTACTTTCGCTCATGGTCGTCGTCTTTAGAAAGCGGGTCAAGTCTTTGAAATGACGATGATGGACTGCTGAATTGGAGGAAATTTTAAGGGTTAAAGTCAAGCGCTTGCAGGTCAAAGGGCAGAGACGTTTGTCGATGTTTTTTGTTTGTTTGGCGATCCTTACCCCAAAGCTGCAAGCAGGCAGGTCACTGCTTCACTGCCCCTCCGCAAGCGCAGCGCGAGGTGGGATGGCCCAGGATGAGCATCGAAGATTCCAGGTGAAGCTGGCACCTGTGCTGGCCGCCCTGGAATGGTTCCACCGCCCACTTGATGAGTTCATGCGCCAGCGCCAGCGCCACCAACCCGCGCCCGAATAAAGCCCCGGTTCGGGTCTCGGCGAACCTTCCGTCCTGCCCCGGCCGCTGGGAGCGCTGTCTGCGTGGGGCACTTGTAGTAACCTCATTAGCAGGCGTGCTAAGGTCTACACGCTTTTGCACGCTTTTGCTGTGTGTTGCGGTCATATTCAATATTGTGACATCCTGTCATGAGACTTAAATGCAAGTGAACTGGGGATTCTCTATAGAAATAGGATGCGGCCACATACAGAAACCGAAAGCCGATCAATCTTGCTTTGCACTTTACAAACTCGGAACGAAGTCTCTACACGCTGCCTATAGCCCCGTGGCTGCAGACTATTCCAGAGCATTTCTATCAGGATGCGTTTCATGGGAAGTCCTAAGTTAAGGTGAGTGATGTATCCCACCATCAACTCACATTCTTAGGAAACAGCGCCCCCGCAGCCCCCAGATCCAATCCGTCCAACATGCCCATCTCGACATCATCAAGCTTGAACCAAAACACGTCCCCATTCTCCCTGATTCTCTCTGCGTCCGCACTCTTGGGAAGCGGCACATATCCGCGTTGCAGAGACCACCGGATTAGCACCTGCGCCGGCGTGACTGTAGCCTCCGTGATCTCTCTCTTTTTCGTGACTGCCGTCTCCACCGGAATCTCCTCTGCCGTCTCCACCGGAATCTCCTCTGCCGTCTCCCGCTCCCGTGGGTCGTCGTTGCGGCAGTTCGTCCCCGCAACCCGTCGTCCGGATACCGGTATTGAATCCTCCCGGACACCGACCCCGACACGGCGCCGAACCCGCTCCACGACCTCTCTCAACACCGGATCCGCCCACCGCTGCCCGCGCGCGAGAGGGCTGTACGCTTGTACCACGATGCCGTTTTGTTGGCAGTAGGCGACTAGTTCTCGCTGTTGACACCACGGGTTAAGCTATTCCCACACTCATCAGCATCTCTCCCTCAATAGACTTTGCTCTGCAGACCTCTGTCAATGTCCTAACACGGCGAGGAAAGAAAACTCACCTCAATCTGATTCACACACGGCAACACCCCCTCGCAACCCTTCTTCATCTCCTCCAGCGCCCCAATCCCAAAATTACTAACCCCGAGCACCCTCGCCCTACCCTCCCTCACAAACCTCCCCAACACGCTCCAGATATCCCTCCACCGCGCAACGGGACGATGTACGAGAATCAAGTCAACGTACCCTCCACCATCCTCCTCCCCAGCAATTCTCATTACACTCCCCAGTACACTCTCATACATCTTCTCCCCGTCGCCCTCCCACCGTCCAACCTTAGTTGTCAAAAATAAATCCTCCCTCTTGACCCTCCCTCTTCTCCCAGCGGCAGAAACACCAAGCCCATCATCGCACCCATCTGATAACACTTCCTCCCGCCGTCTCAAAAACACCCCAACGGCCCTCCCAACCTCCTCTTCATTCCCATACAGCCGCGCGGTATCAATGTGCCGGTACCCGGCCTCTAACCCCGCCAGACAGGCCGCGAAGCATTCTTCCCCCCTGAGCTGGTAGACGCCGAGACCGAGGCGGGGCATCGTTCCCGTTGAGCCTGAACCTGAGCCCGGGAGCTGGATGGGCTCGTTCATGGTATCTGGACGTGTAAGGTATGTGGCAGGTTCGCTGTAGCGTGTTCATGCGGTCGTGAGGACCTAGGGGACACAAGTAGTAAACGGCTGGCGCTTGATGGTCATGACACGAAATCACATCTGCGTGGTCGTGTGGCATGTGCTGGGTTGACTCACTGGCGTACAAGGTGAAGGTGCTAGGCAAGCTTACATGGACCCCACTTGCATACTGCCGTGAGTAAACAGTCACTTGATACTAAACAAAAACGCACTCAGTAAATTCTCGTGTTGCAAAAAGACTCGCAGGGTCTCTTCCAAGAAAAGTATTAACCTCTTCTGCTTCGCCGCGACGCCCAGTCGGCAACCGTCAAAGTAGATAATCATAGTGTTACATTTCATCCGACACCCAAATAAAAACGCCCAGCAGCCTCTCCACCCAGCCGATAAACACACCCAAAAGTCGAAAGGGCGCAATCAACCCGTCTTCTTCTTCTTCTTGGGCCTCTCCTCTTCCTCTTCTTCGTCATCCTCGCCATCGTCGCCGTCGTCGTTATCCACGTCGCTCTCTTGGCTGCCTGAGCCAGAGCTCTCGTGGTCGCTGTCAAACTCTTCGGCAACGTCACTCTCACTCTCGGCGTTAAAGTCCTCATCGACACTCTCTTCGTCCTCGTCAGCTGAGCCACGGTCGGCCTTGGCGGCACCAACAACCTCCTCTTCCGAATCGTCCATAGCTTGGTCGCGCATGGCTGCAGCAATGAGGTTGGTCTCTTCATCGATTTCGTTCTTAACGCGCAACCCCTTGAGTCTGAAGAACTCCTCGAGCCCCTTGAGATCCTCGCGGTTGATGTTGCTGAACTGTGATGAGCCAGCGCCGTTCTTCATCTGCACGGTGATATCAAAGGTTGACAGCGCAGAAACGGCACCTCCAACACGAGAGAATGTGATGGACGCTGTTTGCTCGTAGGCAATGTACGTCGCAGGTTTAGGCACAAACATGAACGCCTTCTCCAGGCAGTACAGGAAGCCTTCACTGGCCTTGATCGAGCACTTGATACCGAACTGATTGCGATGGCTGCGTGGATGTTAGCACAGATTCTCTCGCACGGATGGTGAGACACATACGTCTGGAAGTCCTTGGCAGGCGTCGTGATCTTCTTGTTGGCAAGTCCTCGGAAGATGTAGGTGATGACTTGGTGAAGAGGTTGCTCGTAGTGAGGCTGAAGTCTGTCCTTGTACCGCTCGTCTATTTGCTCCTCGGTGAGGTTAAGATCAATCGTCACCTCCTCGTCCTTCTTGAACTGCATGACGATGAACGGGTATCTTGTCTGACCCTGGCGCAGGGGCGGGTCCAGGCCAACGCAAAGAAGCACGTGGGTCTCGTCTGGCTTGGGAAGCACCATAAACTTCTTGATGGCGTCGTACTGGATCTTGTAGTCGTACGTCTTACCACGGAGACGGAAAGACGCATCGTACATGTCGATATCGAAACGACCTCTGTCGGGGTGTCAGAAACTTTTGGGTTATAGACAGCTATAGCGATTCGCACATACCTGGGTGTGAGATGGAGGATGTCCAGGAACGTAGCGATAGTATCGCCTGCGGTCTCGCCAATCTCGGCCTTCTCCATCAGGGTATCGTAGAACAGGGTGACGGCGTTCTTCTCCTCTTCGCCGCCGGCGTCGCTACCAGCCTCGTCGCCCTCCACTTCCTTCTTGACGGTTCCAGGAATGTAAAACCGCATCTCAACGAGCTGATCCTTGCCGGCACCCGCCTTCTTGCCCTTTCCGCGCGCACCGCCCAAGTGGCCATTAGTGCCAGTATCGTTCTTGTCCGTGGGAGCTGAGAATTCGACCGCGACCTCGTTACGACCCGCCAAGTTGGTGTTTGAGATTTCGGAGTAGGGGATTTCGAACGCAGGGCGGCTCTGGACGTTGAAAGACAGCTCAGCCTTTCCAAAGTCGGCCTTGCCCCAGTTCCATCCCCTCAGGGCGTGCTCCCTATTCTCGAGCGCGGTGCTGTACCAGTTCTTGAAGAGCTTGGCAAGACGCTCATAGTCCTTCACGCCATATACCAAGTCAGCATTCCATTCATCCTGAATCTAACGACTGACGCGCTTCTTTACCTCTTGTTGGAAACCATCGAGCTGGATGATGCGCGAGTCTCGGTTGAGGATCTTGATTTCGTAGCCCTTGGCAGCTCGGCTCCACTGCGCCGAGGCAATTGTGCTGTGATCGAGAGTGAAGGTATCGCCACCGCCGGAGGGCTTCCAACCGAGACCGCTCTCGGCAAATCTGCACTTGCCGCTCTCCTTGGACAGGTCCAAGTAGATGCCGTCGAAGCTCTCTCTAGGAAGGGGCATCTCGTTAGCTATCGAACGATAGAAAAGTGGGAGAAGCTCCAATTGCGCCTGATTGTGGAATAGTTGTATCGCACCAAATCCATTGTTTCTCGGCAACTCGACGGACATGGGATCTGTGCGAAAGAAGGAGCTGTTGATGGGCACTCACATAGCTGCCATGATTGCTGGCGAGAGGTCGGAAGGTCAAGAAAAGTATCGGCTGGTGTCGTCGTGATACCGTCGCAGAGAAAGCTATACTCGAGCCGAAATATGTGAGGAAGTGACGTATGACTCGAATCGCCGATGTTCGAGATGGATAGGTGGGAAGGATAGAGATGGCGGTGCTGCAAGGAGGTCCCGCTGATGTCGGTGATAAAATTTCGGGCGTTGGCACTTCGCGCTGCACTTTCCCTGGTCGCGCAAGGCTACAGCACGGTGGCACAGCGACGACGCGACTTTCATTAAGTGCAGTGGGCCCTTTGCTCGCCGCTGGCTGGACGTTCTTTCACCCCCTGGCGCGGGCTTATGCGCTTCTCTGTGAGTCCTGCTTATCTAATATCAGAGAGGTCCAATCCGGTCTAGCGCAATTACCCCGACTTCCATTGCCTGGGACGGGAGCTTGAACCTGGTGGGGAGCAGCCCTGGAAGCACACTTGCCAAGTGTGGGGTAATTTCCTACCGAGGACAGCCGGGCTTAAGCAGGAGCTGGGAGCTGGAGCTGTCGGGTTCGGTCCGTCAAAGTGTCTCAAAAAAAGCTGGACAATTGGGGTATGCCAGCAAGGACAGCTAAGCCTGGCTCGGGGATCGGGTAAGTGGAAGAGGGATTGTGGCTGGTAGCAAGAATGGCTGGCTTTCCATCGCAGCATACAAGTCCTTCCTCTCAGTCACCATTTCTTCCACATTTGCCTCCATGTGTTTGTGACCGCCAGCTTTCAAACCAGCCAACGATTTCATATTCAGCACGCAGAAATTGACAATCTCATCCTCCTTATTACATCTTACCTCTCGGTTCTGTAGAAGTGGCTCTTCCAGTCAGCAGTAGCCATGTCTAGCCCTCCATCTCGTCTTAAGAACATCCTCGGACACCTCCTCTCATCCTCCACAGCCAAGGTCGATGAGCCCCGTCCGAACCACCACATACACCAGCTTTCGCCAACATTCTTTCTAGAGCGTGCCGCCGCGATAGAGCCCGATGCGGAAGCCATCTTCCATGTGACAGCCAACGGCCGAACCCTGCGACGGTCTTACATCGAGTTCGCAGACAGAGCGCGCGGCCTTGCCTATTACCTGAAGAAGCACGGCTTCAAGAGGGTCGGGATTCTTGCGCCCAATACACCCGCCTTTCTCGAGTCCATCTTTGGTATTGCCGCCGCTGGCGGGGTTAATGTGGGTGTCAACTACAGATTGAAGCCGGATGACATCACCTACATCTTCGACTTTGCCGAGGTCGATTCAATCATCGTCGACCAGGAGTTCGTCCACCTGCTTGACGAGTTCAAGGAGAAACACCCCCAGGTCCCCTTGATTATTGACACTGATACCGACTACACGGAGGGCGCCTTGAGTGGCCCCTTTGATGATGCCGTCTTGGAGGGCCTGCAGTATGATCAGCAACACGGTCAGGGTTGGGCCGGCCTTCACTCACAATGTGGTAATGAGGATGATATGCTTGCCATTCCTTTCACTTCAGGAACCACGAGTCGGCCCAAGGGCGTAGTCTACACACACCGCGGGGCCTATTTGGCTGGTAAGTGATGCATGAACTGGTCTGAGACTCTTGCACAGGTATCAAGTTGTGCTGATTGTATTTCCGTGTAGCTGTTGGAAACGTCATCGAATCAGGACTGAATTATCACACTGGCCGTTGCAAATATGTAAGTCATGATCAAGCCCAGCTCACGCTTGCTGCACCTAGCTGACCATGGATTTCTACCATCTAGCTATGGACTTTACCCATGTAAGTGCATCAGGGTAAATTGTCGAAAGGCACTTGCTGACTATGTCTAGGTTCCACGCCGTTGGTTGGACGTAAGAAGCCTACCCTCCAGTCTGGGGCCCTTTAGTCTTGTTTGAGCCTACTGACATAGTACAGATTCCCTTGGGCGGTAACGGCTGTGCGTGGAACGCACGTGTGCTTGCGAAAGATTGACTACCCTCTCATCTGGAAGTTGCTTAAGGAAGAGGGCATCACACACTTCAACGCAAGTGATTCCTATCCACGGAGTGTGAAGAGCAGACAGTTGACACAGGAGTTCAATTGCAGGCAGCACCAACAGTCAACACCCTGTTATGCTCAGCGAACGAGGCCGAGAAGTTGCCCCAAGAAGTGCGGGTGACTGTAGCTGCCAGTCCACCCAGTGCGCACTTGTTCGAGCAGATGGTATGTAACGCTTGATCCGGCTGCCGGGACTCGTCGAAATAGTGTTGACGTGGTTAGACAAACCTGAATCTCTTCCCCGTCCATGTCTATGGCATGACGGAGACCTACGGTCCCATCACCAAAGGATACCATATGCCATCATGGGAGACACTCCCAACAAACGAGAAGTACGCCAAAATGGCTCGCCAGGGTCATGGCTTCTTGACCAGTCTTCCCATTCGAATCATTAAGACAGATCAGCCGGAGGGTGTTCTTATTGATGTCGCCAAGGATGGGAAAGAAATCGGCGAGATTGTATTCTTCGGTAATATCTGCGCCAAGGAGTATTTCAAGGATGCCGAAGCCACCAAGAAGTTGTTCGATGGCGGTGCGCTGCACTCTGGAGATCTCGCAGTCTGGCATCCCGATGGATCGGCTCAGATTCTTGATAGAGCAAAGGATATTATCATTTCAGGTACGCGTCAACTCGTCGAGTTGTTGTCTCTCGTCGGACTAATGAAGGACTAGGTGGCGAGAACATCTCATCGGTAGCCCTTGAGGGCATGCTCGTACAACATCCCGATCTACTCGAAGCGGCCGTGGTTGCTGTGCCTGATTCTCATTGGGGCGAGCGTCCTAAAGCCTACGTGACTGTCAAAGAAGGCAAGAGCTTGAAGGGGGAAGACCTGATTTCGTGGGCGAAGCACCAGAGCAACATCTCCAAGTTCATGGTGCCTCGGGAGGTTGAGGTTGTTGATGAACTGCCCAAGACTAGCACTGGCAAGTTGAAGAAGAATGTCTTGAGGGAATGGGCCAAGGGAAAGAGGGAGTAAGTAGACAGGACATAGCAGATGAGTGTTGTTATTGCATGATGACCGCAACAATTAGAGAAGGTAGAGGGAAAGGAGGCGGGAAGGAAGGATAAGGAGAATGCGAGCTCTTCCGAATCAGACAGAAGCAAGATCAAGTGCCACTCACCGTCTTACACGTGATTATGCCATGTGCCTTTGTGTGAGGTGGTTCGTCTGATGGAAGGCTACCTGCGACCTGTCCAAATGCGGATGACAGCCCTGACGAAAAAAAAGCCACATGCAACGGTCAACGGTACTAACGGTCCCAACGGTCAAGGCACCTTCCCGCAGCCTCCGTTTCCAAACACTCAGTGGTAGTTTGTGACACTGTGATGAACATCGTGCATGGAGACGTACAGACCTAAGGCAGGTGGATGTTCCTCTTTCTTATCCCTGAACCTTGTTTCCTGCGGGAATAGGCCAGTAATAGAACAAGAATGAAAGACACCGGATGGACAACTGCCTGAGGTAGGGAAGGGGAGACAGGGGTTACTGTTTTGACAGGACGGGGAAGGAGCGGAACGGAACCTTCAACACCATCGTACCCAACCGTAAGATGATGTGCCCATGTACCTTCAGGTAAGATGCGGTAGGCACACCTTTCCTCATAGAAGGTCGCCTGTCTGAACTTGCTGCTGCCTACCTTACGTTGGCTTAGGGCAAGGGGCAGCCCACAACGTCTTCCACAGAAGACAACCCAAGACTGACGGAGATAGGTGCAATCCGAATGGTACAGAGTACCTAAGGTACCCGAGAAGCAAGTCGAACCCTCGCTTAAGGTGGTCACACTGTCACGAACCACGCACCATATGTACGGAGATCAGGAGAACAGGTCACATGGCCTGCTCCCGCGGAGTGAAAGCAAACGTTGAAGCACCAGACAACGGTCGATTTCGCAATGTTCGAGAGCGAGAGTGACCAGTCAACTAACCATAAGACCAGAATACAAGAAGAAACGACAAGATGCTTCTGTCGCCGTCGAGCAAAAGACATCCGAGATTCCGTGAAGCGAGGCGGCGGGAATACACCACGAGGGTATCCCCTGAACAGCAAACGGAGAGCTCGATGGAGCCACTCGGCCAACTTGAGTTAATCCATACGGAGACGAGTCAGATTCTGACCGGTACGGACTACGGATCACATCAAAGTCCCTCATCGACCATAGGGTAACGGTCTCAGCCCCGATGATTTCGGGTCCTCGAGCTGGAAGCAAGGCACTGGCCCCCAACCCTCCCAACTTGAGAGGGAGAATTAACGGGACAATACCCATAAACAGTAAAGAACATCCCAGGGTTCTCGACGTCTGATACATGAAGTTTGCTCCCAATGGTCATTACCTGATGACGCTGCGGCTGTTCACCCTGGAGGAAAGGCTTCTTTTCTTCGGGACCCGAGATCATCAGGCTCTTGGCTGCTTCCTCACCGACAGACGCAGATCAAGATTACCTCCCTTATCCTCTGGCCTTCCCTTAGGGCTACGGTAGAAGGCGAGAAGATGGCTGAGGAGCGGGCCCCTCAGCTTCAAGATTGTTCCACCCAGCCACCTAAGCACCAATGTAGCTGGCTTTGAGGTCATCTCTCTCTCTCAAGTGAACAAAGGCGTTATACAACGGCTCAACCAAAGAGGAAAGTAGAAAGAAGATTCTTCTGACACTTGTCAGTCCACTCACAACCTTGGCACGTGTTGCCAACCTAACCGCCCCTGATAGGAGCATCCGAGATTCAGGACCACTTGAGTCAGACCTCCACTAGTTTCATTAAGCAACGATCTTCTCCCACCACCAACAGAGAATCAACAGATCTCATCTCTGTCTTAGTCTCGATGTCTGTCAGTATGCTCCTCGAGAGAGGGGGACAGCAGCTTTCCGAGAGTGGTGAAACCCAAGGCCAAGTCAAGCAGAATTACTTTCCCGGACGAGAATGCATAATACGCAGACACGACTTGAACAGCTGCATCATGCAGGCCGCTGTGGGTATAGCTGCTTCTACGACCAAGGAAGATTGGGCGCGCGGGCAAGTCCCTGCTCAGGATTGGGTGACGGAATCCATGTAGGCGCTGCACACGCCTTTGGGGGCCTTCCGGGCGCCCCATGCCGTCCAGGTCGGCCAGCAATCGCGGATCCTTTCGAGCGGTCTGGGGACTGCGTTATCCGAAGCCGAGCTCACATGGAAATTGCCCTATCGAATATTAATCTGTCGCGTCGGGTCCTCATAAAGCCCACCTGAACCCCTCCTCAAGAAAATCAAGTCTCAAAGGCACCATCCATTGACAATGTCGGTGATGAGACTGCGAATGTGATAGCTGACAGAGCTTTAAGGACGCAGAAAGCCCATTCACGCAGCGAGTTACTAGACTTGCTCCAGCCGGTAAGTCGAGTCGCATAAGCAGCCGACTATGAGATAAGACAAGGAAAGAAGAAAGAGAAAAGGAGGAGAACAGAATGAGAGATGAGAGAGGGCTTACAACTTGACTCGACTGAAGATGGGTATGGGCTCAGTATGAAGAGTGGCCCGATGAGAGAAGAAGATGGGGGATGAGAGAGGATACTCAGCACCCCGGACAAGCCACGGCTAGCTTGCCGTACAAGTAAGAAGATGAGAAGAGACTGACTGCCCTGTCCTGATAGATAGATCGAGATCTCAAGAGGAACAACAAACGACATCGACGACAGGTCATTTATAAATTGGACTGCTACCAACACGACTAGGCGAAGCAGAGCAAAGAGGAAACGTCGTCCGGAACTCCTTCGGTGTGTCCTGCATACCCTGCGCCGCAGCAGCAAAGATTTTTTGGCGACAGCCCTGGAGTGGAGTGACTCTGGCATAAATCCAGGCCACCCCGATCCCCCCGATTACCGGCGTCTTGGGCGCCGGCCGCATTACAACGCGCTTCCCGCCGCCGTACGTACGACACCCGAGTCTAACTTTGAAAACTACGACAGAGTCGATTCACTTGAGCAGCTGTCGTGGTCGGCTGACTCTGTCGGAACCCTAGTCCTGGGAAGGTGTGGTCCGCCTAGAGACCAAAGTCACTCCACGGGGACGGTATACGGGAGAATCCCGCGCCACAAGTTGTCTCCCGATTGCCCACTGTTCTTGGGCAATCCCTGAGAAGGCCGTGGCGTCCGCTCCGGAACTACTGGCCAGACGCTCGTCTGGTTCTTTCCAACGGCAGCCTGCGTCCACTGGGATTGTCTGGCCGCACGCTTAGTACGGAGCCTCCCAATCGTGGCTGGTTTGCTCTTCCTCGCCCGATCTTGGCCATTCGCGGATAGGAGGCCTTTCCTCGGTCCCGGGATTGGAAAGCAGATACGGGAACAAGGTCGAAGATTCGAAAAAGCAAACAAAACCTGTATAAATCACCAACGGCTTTGCGTTGCTTTGGGGCCGGACGGTGGGATTCAGAAAGGGGGTTCTCCAATCGAAACAAGACCCCTCGCCACCCCCGGCAAGACGATACGATGGCGCACACGCCAAACGACAACACTCCCTTCTACGAGTATCTCGTGGATGACCCGGAAGTAAGTATCTCACCCGGCGTTGCATTCCACTTTTCTCCGTTCGGTGCCTTCCTCCCCGGAGCGCGGCCTTCAGGGGCTCCCATTTCTTGCGGTCAGGCCTTGAATCAAACGACCAGCTCATTCCGCGCCATGCCTCGTTGGCCCCTTTTTCATCTGCCGACTTGAGTGGTATACGAATGTGACAAGACAAGCGCTAGACCAAGCGATCAAAGGCGCGAGTGAGGACATGATGCCACGCGGGTAGCACCGAGCTGGGCCAGATCCCTCCCCTCCCCCATGGGCCTCCGCAATCAGAGGTCGAGTCACGATTCAAGGACCATGCAAGACTCTCTACATTATTTTGTCTGTCGGTGTTCGCCTCCGGTGCTTGGTATGGGATATGGGCGGGAGGCGGCGGAGTATCAAGGAGCTGAAAGTCTGTGTGCCACCCCGGGATGGGGCGATGGCAAGGTGATGTTCTCTGAACAAGCGTTCAGCAAACTGATGCGACAGACGGCGATGAGGCGCAGAAGAGTAGAGCAGGCCGTGTCCTCGAGGATCACAGGTCCTTTCGCCAAAGAAAGAAAAAAAGGTTGAAGACAGAAGGAAAAAGTCTGACGATTATTTCTATCAGCAGATGATAGCTTCGACGCCGTTGTCCCCGCACTTCTCTCCCGAAGTTTTCGGAGGGGCTTTCGACGTCGGCGACCGCCAACACCACGCCACTCGGCCCGGTAATCAGACCACCCAGCTGAGTCCAGGCCACAATCGGCCCAACGCCATCAATGAATCGACCACAGCGACACCACTAAATCAGGTCCAGGCCATTGCAGGTATTCCTGGATTACCCATACCCGTATCCGTATCGACGGCGCAATTCCCGCAAATTCACAATCTCGGAGGACTCCAGCACCTGAATCAGCAGCACCAGCAAAACCACCCTCAGCTCCATCCTTCAGCCCTGGGTCTGGGTCTCGAGTTGGGTACTCTGGGGTTGACACATGCAGAGGGCAACCAGGGTCTTCAGCACCAATTCGGTCCAGCGGCAGCGCCTGCGCCTAATATTGCTGCTGATCAACAGGGGACGTCGTCGCATCTCCATTTGCAGGGCCATCAACGTGCACCCGCCCACGCCGCCGCATGGCTTCCGCCCGGATATGGAGTCCCGGTGTACCACGACAACCCGCAACAGCATGTCGATGCAACGTCCTCCTCCGCAACAGCAGCAGGTGTCAACCCACCTGTCACTCTCTCCGCAGCGGCCGGCCTGAGTACTGATGGCAGAAACCAGAATGTTGGTGTTGGCGGTGGTCACTTATACGATTTCGGATTCGCAGCACCACCACTACTGCCAACGAGTGAGCAGTCGTTCCTGGGCGGCGGAGTCTATGCCGACATCACGCCACTTTCCACCACGGTAGCTGTAACAGCTCACCCGCAACCACCCACGACCACTTTTGATTTCCATGCTTCGCCATGGCGGCCGCGGCTTCAAGACAGCAGCTCCGTCACACTGACACCAAACATTGCAGCCGTCGCTGCGGCCGAATTGAACCACGACGTCCGCAAGCACAGCAAAAGCAGCATGGAGACCGATAGCGACGTCAAGGACCCTTCGTGGGATGACGATGATAACGAGCCTCAAGATAGAAGGGGCGGAGCTGGAGCAATGAAGACGTCGTCGTCGTCATCGCCCGGGACTCGGAAGCCGCAGCGAAAGGGCAAGCGCCGTGCCGTAGCCGATCCCGAAGCCGGTGGCAACCACGACAATGACGAACCCACCAGCCCCGCGGGCCGGACCAGCGTCAGCGGCCGATCGGTCAAGTCGGTATCGGTCGCCTCATCTGCCGGATCGAGCACCAAGACGGCACCGGCACCCCGACTGCGCAGTGCCTCCCGCACATCCAAAAACGCACTGCAAAAGCCGACCGAGTCCCTCGAAGAACGACGAACACGCGCATCTCATAATCTGGTCGAAAAGCAGTATCGTAACCGACTCAATGCTCAATTCGAGGGTCTCCTCAATGCCCTACCGGAGCAGGTCCGCGGCCCGGCCGGCGCCGGAGACGGCGACGAATCGGACCCGCAAGCGGCGGCGGCGGCAGCGAATGAGGAAAGGCGGGTCAGCAAGGCCGAGGTGCTGGACATGGCCCGCCGCCACATCCAGAACCTGGAGCGGGAGCGGGAGACGCTCCACCGCGAAAGGGGAGAACTGCTGCGCAATCTAGAGACGCTCGAGCGGGAGGCGGCCGTGAATGGCGGCGGGGGCGGCCGCTTGGACGAGTTCCTCGACGTCGAAGGGGTTCCGGACGAGAGAGGCGAGTCGTCTTCGTCGTGGAGGAATGCTTGAAGCGGGTTGCCCTTGACACCTGTACAAATCCCCCTGCCTACTTGTCTGCCTGCCGTGAGCCTATTCTATGATGATGGTGGTGGTAGTCGTGATGGTGGTGGTGATGGGTGTGAAGCCAATGCAGTGCACTTCTGGAAAGGGGGGAGCGCGTGAGCTCAAAATCTCGGAGGCAAGGGTGCCGGGGGTGGTGGGGGGGAAAGGGTTCTTTCGGAGTGTCGCCGACCGCCCGAGAACATGCCGCGCGCGGAGGGGAAACGTCATACCATCCATTGGTCGCGGCGGTGTTGTTGCCCCCGTCTCAGATATCGACGCCGGTCCGCAGAAGGGTGCCATCCCGCTCCACGGGTCCAGGGTCTTTTCTTTTCTTTGTCTTCTATTCTTCTACCCTATGGCCCCGCCGAGTTTTGCTTTTGGTGTCAGGTTTTTCTGTTTCTTTCTTATTTTCTCCGCGGACAAATTATGATGGCGGATGAGATCAGTTTCATAAAGGCGGGAAGAGTCAAGCTTGATTGGATGCAGATGATGACTTCCGGGATATCGGCAGCCCGCCTGCCGGGGGTTTACGAGGGGAGGTTAGAATAGATTGTGGACCGAAGTAGTGGATGAGAGGCAAGTTCAGCCGGGACACGGGAGGAAATCGCGAGGAAGAGGGGTTACAGAGATGGGTGGGAAGAGAAGGGCGGCAGGGGAGGTGGTGTGCATGTCTGTATGCGTGTACATGTGCGATGGGCAGAGGGATGAACAAGGTGCCTCGGGAGGATGGAGGAGGAAGTACGGTGTGGTGTGTAGGGTGAGGATATGTTTTCCGTCAGGATGAGGTTTGGACGGAGCTTGTAATTGACGGTGATGCTGGTCTGAGGACCAATTTTACAACTGCAAAAAAAAAGTCTTGGGAGGACTGCTCATTAGGGTGAGGTAAACTTCATTTGGACAGACGAAAGTATATAGAAAGAGAAGTATCATGGCTATGCTCTTACATTCATGCTTGACTGATGACTGCAGCGGAAATCGCATTTCTCTCGTTGCACTTTCAAGTATGGATGTCTGTCGTTGCCATCCGAAGTTTTGACATGTCGACGTGTTCGTCATGCAGAGTACACACAATGCGGGACACGAGTCTAGACCAACCTAGCCCGGCTTCTCCCACTCCTCCGCATCGAAGCTACTAAGGTAAGGTGTGTGTGCGTGTGTGTGTGTGTGTGTGTGTGTGTGTGTGTGTGTGTGTGTGTTCACTACCGAATGCATAATGCACATCACCAAACTACGCAGCACGCCAGCCACGCCAATCAACAGCTCTGCCGTACCCAGCCAGAACCTGATGGTTGCAAGAGAGCGCATGCGTCTCCCCAGAAATTGTCAACTTTTCATGCGATGCGTCACGAGGGTTCGTTGCGTCGCTCTACCCTTACTGTGTGTAAGTAAGGCAACAACACCTCGGCATGTTTTGATCGCGTGAACTGGTTTGTGGTGTGTCGCTGCCACTTTCTCAACCTCCCCGCCTTTTCGCCAAGTTCATGCCTCTTCACAGCGTAAGTTTGATCATAGGGCGAAATCTTTTCACAGCAAGCCATTGGGGAGGGACAGAGATCAATAGCAGGAGTAAATGGGACAGGTGATAGGAGTCTCTCTTTTTTGATTGAAAATTCTTGTTCGGAGCGATCAAAGGCTTGCATCCGAACCGCGATGAAATAAGGTAAACCTCCTTTTGTAAACCCGAAACTTCCAAAGCTGGGAAACATCATCTCTCTCTCTCTCTCTCTCTCTCTCTCTCGCTGCGTACCCCTCCAGGGGCGCAGGTAGTCCTTCTCGTGATCGCACAGATGCGTAACACAATCCCTCCATTGGGTTGCTTCCTTCCGCGGGTCCTGTCCTCCCAAATTTTTTACAAGTGTTTTTTGCTTTTCTGTTCCCCCTTTCACCCTTTTTTTTCCATGCTGAAAAAACAAGGGGTTTGTCATAATCCATCAAATCATAACCCTGGCGGAGGTTCAAATCCCTTCCGGTGGGCTTTTGTGCTCGCGCCCTTCTTTTTTTTTGTACAACAAAATAACAGTATCAGTAGTAGCGGTATTGCTGGTGGTGGTAGTATAGTAAGAGTGAGTCCTTCGGATCGGACTGCAGATAGATGTAAGGAAACTGTAGATCGTTGTGCGCGTTGCGCTGGCGGGCGTCTTGTGGGTGAGTGAGTGAGTGTGTGAGTGAGTGTATGTGTAGCGAGTGATGGTTGGTGGTCGGAATCGAAGAATGACCAAACCGGATTTTTGGTCTATGGTGTGAACGAAATGATGAGAGCCCAGGTGATAACTCCTCCGAGATATGCCAAGAAAGTCTATACGAATCACGACCGTCTTGAAACGCCGTGATATGTCGAGAAACAAACAATAAGGTGTAGAGGGTTTGTTAGTGTGGTGCGTCGCTCCGCCGTTGAGGGAGAGGGAACGCGCCAGCGTGCGCGCGCCCAGGTGTGTGGGTCTATGGAACAAAGATATATGAGATATGTTATGAAGTCGTGATGTGTTGTCATGGGTCGGAAGGTGTACTCAATGGCGAGCAGGCGTTCAGATGCGGCTGCCGGCATAGAGAGGCGGGAAAAGGGCGTACTGCCCAGGCGGGGGTGGAGCACTCAGCGTCTGCGCACGTTGGCGTCGGTGCTGCTTCACCGGCTCCTTCATCTTGGCAAGCGGGAGAGAGTCCTGAGACAAGCTGGCATCGATGCATCCAGAAGCGGCGCGGATGTCACCCGTGGAACGCGACATGGTCAGAAACTCCTCGGATTCAGGCAACGGAGTCATGGTGGACTTTCGTCCTCTGGGCGACCCGAGGTCCGCAAAGTCATCGGCACTGAAGGAACGCGAGTGGTCGCTACCCTCAAACTTTGGGTTCCAACCCTCAAAGGTCGTGCTTCCCGTGTACCTGGTGAGCGCCGTCCATGTCGAGTTGGTCGATGTATGGCGAGCCTCGGTCAGGCTGGTTTGGCTGGACGAGTTGCTGCCGGTTGTTGAAGTGCTGGCACGGTCTCTGGCGAACAGTCCAGGCATTTCAATCGTCAGGACGGGCTCCTCGTCAAAGGCGAAGTGGCTGGTGTCGTGTCTCCCCACATCCATGGGGTACGCGTCAGCGTCCGAGTCTGCCAACATCTGCTGGCGGAAATCCGTTGGAATGAGAAGAGATGGCGAGAGGTTGAAGCCGTGAGACTCCTTGAAACTCGATGCTCGCGATGCTGTCCTCACGTGGAGATGGGAGGTGCCCCGGTAGTTCGTCTCCTTTCTGGGATGAGAGAAGTTTGACCTAACGGGCAGCGCGGTAATAGTAGGAGTGATTGCTTCATGTCCGTTGACGGAAGTCTGACTGGCGGGGCTGAGGGCTGGCATGTCAGAGTGTCCCAACGTCGATGCCGGCTTCAGACCAGCCGAGAGGGGTGCGACGAAGATACCATCGTTGTCAAAAGAAGTCTCTACAGAGTCCTCCCTCACAATATCCAAAGACGGCCGGTCCCACGCGTAGTCGCAGTCAGCCTCAGCTTCGTGCTCGTAGCAGTAGTCAATATCATCCTCCCAGCTGGCTCGGTGAGAGATAGCAGCCGGTCCATCAACTTCCAAAGCTTCCTTCAGAGCATTCTGCGCGGCAAGTATGTCGAAGCTGCCAAGGGTGTCCGATGCGCCGCTTGATGGCCGCCTAAACTCGTCCTCCGGCGTCTGAGGCACGCTCTGGCGCAGAGCAGGCACAGACTGGCTTCCCCGAAGCGATGAACGAGTGCTGGTCAAGCTCGGGCCAGACTGCCGGGACAAAACGAACTGCTCCTCCTCTTCAGGCACATCAGGCAATGCCATCTCATAAGAGACAGTGGAGCTTGCTGTGAGTGGCCACGCAGCATCGTCGGGAGTGGTGATTGCATGAGAGAATCTCGGGTCTGCGAAAGGCTCTGCTTCTTCGGAAATTGTAGGTTCAGTGAATTCGATCGGTACATCGAGGGTGCCTGGTAGGTGAAAGCCGCTGCTGGTCTGAGGGCGTTCTGGAAACATATCAATGGTGGCGAGCGAGTCTTCTGAAACGGTGTAATGCTTCATGATGCGGCTTGACGATCTGGGGGGAGGGACAGGTACAGGCGAGCCTGGAAGAGTTGGCGAGACAATCTCCTCGTTGATGGGTGATCGGGGTGGCCGCGGAGGTGCTGGGCGCGGCGGGCTCGACCGAAGTTGTTCCTGGGATCGTGTGTGCTTGACCAACCGTCGAGGTGCAGAGGTCGGGCCTGTATGCCTGGCAATGGCAGGCGGGCGATTCGCAAACATCTCTGGCTGAGTTTCGGACGCCCACGCGTTGTCCTGCTGCGTGTGCAAGGCTTCGGATGAAAAGTTGGAAAAGTGCAAATCTTCAACGTCAATTCCCTTGAGTTGGCCGGTGGTCGGCCGTTGGCCAGCGCGGATGGCTGAGAATTCGGAGACCAGTTCGGCGCGGCTACCCCGCTGAAGGTCCGGTAAGTGATCCCGCTTGGTGTGGGTGACATGTTGAAAGTTGTAAGGGCCTGATATTTGCAACTTGCGTCCCGAAACTGGGTCTTCACCTAAGTCGTCCTGTCTTAGAGTTCTGCGACGGCCAAAAATTGATGGGATGAAGTGGTCCTTGTTTGTTGTCGAGGCCGGGCCATCCAGGGCAAGCTCACCAGAGTATAAGGAACTTCCAGAGGAACTGTGGTTACCACTGCTTTCCCGCTTCATCTTGGCCCTGCGGTTGAAGATGGTTTTGCCAAAGAGCTGTACGCTCTCGGGCCGGTCTCGAGAAGGCATGCTGCTCGAAGTCGACCGGCCAGAAGAACGTCTCGATAAAGTAATGGTTTCCAGGGTGTGTTCCCACGACCGGTCCGAGTTCAGTGAGCGCAGCGAGGATGTCGAGCCAGAGGAGGTGGTTGTATGGCTCTTGTGTTTGTCCAAGGCCGAGGCCCTCTGCATCTGCTTGCTCAAGGCACGAATCCTTTCCGGCGAGGGCGGTCCATCAAGAGCAGGCTCGAACAAATCTGCGATGTTGTCGGGATGGTCTTGGGTTGAGAGAGGAGGAAGGGGAGGTTGTGAGTTGATGGCAGCGGCCGGCGATGAGCCACCTTTGTTGCTGATGCTTGCCCTCTCTTTCCTCCGGGTTGGCTTGTAGGCCGAGTAGTACGGCAGTGGAGCGGTAGCCCACATGTTGTTTTCGACTTAATGCAGAGGGCGACGTCAAGCCAGGCGTGCCCCCTCTCAAGGGATCCCCTTCTTCTCCAGCGTGCTGTGAACAGGGTT